TTGCTCGAAATGTGTGGGGCGGTCATCCCCGGGGCACGAGCTGTTTGTGCTCGTCGTAAGCCGGAGTTTGCCGAGGATCCGATGACCACCGAAGTAGCTCCGATCACAGACGACTGGACTGGAGGGGCTGGACATCCGGGGCTGCTGGACAATGTGTTCGTCCTTCATGTCCAAAACACACATACACAGAGGAGGCCCCATGGGGGGCGGACTAGGCTAACATTTGATAAAGCTAAACATCCAATTTGGTCTCCATTATTCCGATGGACAACCCAATTACAGTGGAAATAGGACTTGCATTTGCTGACATATTTGTGGGCCGGACATGTTCAGAAGTCACTACGGCGGATGCAAGGCTGGACAAGGCATAGAGCGACCGCGAAGCCGGGTGAAGAGTCTCAATTTCACATCAAATAGTCTCAAATTAAGAAACTGACACAGGCAAGACCTTTCGCCACCGAACCCTATAATGCATATTCAGTAGATCTAATTGCAATAGCTATTGCATAGAATACATTTGCACTATGTACAGCTTCGTAAGATACCCCCATTTCGTGGGGAAAAAAACGTGCGTAGAAAAAATGGCGTAAATAACAGACCATTAATCAAATAGTGAGTGAGTGAGTGAGTTGGGTTTAACGCCGCTATTAACAGTATGCCAGTTATATCACGGCGTGTCAGCTTAATGTGGGAGGAAACCCCGAAGTTATGCAGGTCTCAGACGTTTACCACTTCGGTGAAACCCACGAGCACGTGTATGGTGCTGACCAACCTAGAACCGGGACCAAACCGTAAAGATCTTGGTTAGAATTGGTCTTCAGCAACTCATGCTTGTCGTAAGAGGCGACTAACGGGATCGGGTGTTCAGGCTCGCTGACTTGGTTAATGCGTGTCATCGTATCCCAATTGTGTAGATCGATGCTCATGGTGTCAATCACGAGATTGTCTTGTCCAGGCTCGATTATTACCTGAATTCTTGATATTGTATATAGTAACTGACCTAAACCGTTCTATTTTCATAGGATTGTATCTCTCAAAACTTAAGCAAATACATTTTTCATCCGACATCGAACTTTTGAAGTGTTCCCTTACAGACCACCGTCATATAGCTGGAATATTGCTGAGCACGGTGTTATTTAACATTCAATCAATCAATCAACAATCATTGCATTTCCCCACCACAGCCCAGACAAATCAGACATGCCCCGGAGTTATCTCCCCTGCAGACAGCTCATCACCGCCCTCAAGACAGATGAGGCTCTGCCCTGGAGTTGTGTAGTATCTCCACCTGCAGACAGCCGCCGGAAGATAGCCCTAATGTATGTGGGCGATACAATCAGCATGAGGCTTCCATATATACCCCGTCAGATGCACGTCAATAACTCATCCAGGCATGTATCTTAATCCAACCACCTTCGCGAGCCTGTCACGGTTCAGCTGTCAAAGCAACTGTTGTACTTTTGGCCTCAAACGTGGGCTAGGAGTGGTCAGAGCTACCCTTGATGCAGACGACAATAGTGGCCATCTTGTCAAGCGAAAGCCGCGAGATCCCAATGGGCCAGAAGGAAGTACCACTCCCTTGATTTAAAGTAACGCCGGCCGCCGAGGCAGGTAATCCACCCTGTGATATATGGCGTCCCTATGAATGGCGATAAACCAAAGGCTGTGAACCCTCAACCAGCTGGAGTTGTCCAGTAAGGGGCCAGTCTTTGTGTGTTTCACTTTCCACACTTCCTCTGGGCTCATTCTCTTCAGTTTCACAAAAAAACTGTTGTCGCATAAATCCATAAAATCTGTCAGTTGAATGATATCTGTAGTCATAAAACGAGGAAGGAATCATGGCCCGTGGCAGAACTATTGAATCAGATAATGACATGTAGAACTGCCCGACACCTGTCCTCAAGGAAACCAATGCCGAAAGCATCCTCCAGTCACGAGGAAGATACATACTAGAAGTGGGGTTATATCAAGGAAATATCAATCCGATTCGTCGTGGTCTCAGTTGCAAGTTACTTTTTAATTATCGAATTTCGGTCGCACAAAAAGTTAAAATTATTTTAGAGGACCAACAAAGTTAACAGTACTTGGATGTCACAGTCCTGTTTAGGACGAATACATTCATGATTAATCCTTTCGGTTTCGCTCTATCAGGAAGACTTGCACAAGTCTCTACGGCAATAATTTTTAGTTTAAATCCTAACTTCTAGACGATGTAAATAACAGGAACAAGGTGTCCCTATAAGAGACTGGAGTCTGTCCACATATCTTGACTTGCCTATGAGATGGATAGAATTACCACACATCCATGGACTTTTCTTCCAGTACCTCGGGGCAAGGCTAAGGGAATGCCTTCTACCGCCTATTCCAACGGTGTGCAGACATGTGGGCAGGGCGTATTAACTCTCTATCAAGTATCGATCTCTTCCCGTAGTAACCATCACCCGACCCACCCCCCACCAGATACTACTTGGCCCCACTGTGAGACACCCCTAATCAAGCAGGACTACTGCAGGCACGACCCAGGTAGGCGCCGACACACCCTGGGGTGGTGGTATCTCAGAGGGAGTCATCCCGTGGGTGAAGTTGAGGAGGGATAAACAAGAGGTGGAGGGTCAACTATCAAGATAAAGGCTGCATGAACTAAGCTTTACACCTAAAATGTCACTCGCGATATCAGGGGAATAAGTGTTGATAACCTCCTATAACTGAATATATATTTGCCAACCGGAAATTCAGTGTTTTGGGATGTGTGTTTTTCAGGGCACATTTATGTAATGTCAGTGTCAATTTTAGCCTTGCTCCAAGGCTGTACTGAAAGATAAGTCCATGGATGTGTGGTAGTTTTACTGTCCTAATAGGCAAGTCTAGATGTGATTCCAGTCTCTTATAGGGACAACTTGTCATTATTAATCTAGATATCTAGAAATGATTTTAACTAATAATTATTGTCTTAGAGTCTTGTGCAAGTCTAGGCAAATTCCGGAGACAAAGTATATTAAGAGGGAAAATCATTTACATCTTGTTTCTTTGATGGTCGTAAAGGAAACAATGAACAAGGCTGGTTTGGCCCTTGATAATATATTTTATGTATTCCTCCTATGGCGTTAACCACTCGCGAGCTGTTGATGTTTGCCCCAGTTTAACAGAGGAACCTCTATTACTATTGCAATATAGTCGGACAGACGCTGTCAATGAAAGCTAATGTTTCATTTGCATGTAATTCTAGCTAACAAAGCTTGCGCAACGGGAAATTGTCCTTTCGTTTTCAACACACCTCCAACCTTTGACCTTCAAAAGTGGGTCGGGAGGGACGCTAGTCCGGAAGTGAGTCATCGACTTATAAGACCCCCCACCCCAATCCCAACACGTGGGGCCTGGGTCAAGGTATATACCCCCAAATACAATCATCTCCCCCTATGCAATAAAGCCCTCCCAGGGGGAAGAAACTAGGAAGATCTTGAGAGTGTGACCCGTTAGGTGGCGCCACCTGGCCAACTTGTCAATCAATATATCGTATCACCTGGAGATAATATTTATATGTCAAATTTTTCATGTTGTTTTGACGAACTTAATCCACCCTGATCCGACTTCCATAAAGACTATCATACCTCTGAGCCCCATGCAATATGGCTGTCATAAACCTACATGACATATTTTGACAAGGTCGTGAAAAAGAACAGTTTATGCCGCTGGCTGTATTACAAGGCAATAACAATTTGTAACAAGGAAATAATTTCGTCTCATCAAAACCTCCTTCGATCTGTGTAGGCCTAGCGACCTGTACATGGCCAGTTTAGCGTCCGCGTGACTGAGTCAGTGGAGATTGTTGTGTCCGGCAATAACTAACCGGTTTCCGATCCTAATGGGCCACTTTTGGTGGTCAGCCTGGACCTCTGACCGTATTGTCCGTGTGTGTCCAGCTAAGACTCCAGTAACGAGAGCTTTTCACTGTTTGTTTACGAGGCCACTGATATAGGTATTGGTAAACAAGGGCGAAAGTTAGTAAACAAATCTTGACCCGCGAATTACCCCCGTGTATGCCGTATAACCACCTAACCCAATGACCGTTACAATGGTTCAAACACAAGCGACTGAATTCTTTTGTTGAAGCAGGTATACAATGTACAGCAATGCAATATACCCATCGAGCTTACCTGTATTTATATTTCAATAATCCTATTTATACGTCTCTTTACACTCTCAATATAGAGGTCGCAGTAAAACTACACAATGGAATATTGTTACATTGAAACACACCTTATATCTCACCATATAATCAAATGCTACCACCTATATCACAGTGCTCAAATTCTTAAACTATTTGTGAAATGTTGAAACGCTCATGGGTCTATTCATGAATATCAGTGAAAGTATGTAGGTAATACACTGCCTGAACGCCCACATCTAGGTGACATCACCACTGTATTAAGTACCCCGTCGTCCCACGAGAGACTCGCACGTGATATACGGGGGTGTACGACAAGCTAGGCTATTCTTTAGTCTATAGTATACGACGTGATAACGATATGCATTGTGTGTCACGTTACATGTCGGCAAACAAATCATTGTGAAAGTGTGGATATATATAATTCAACAATGTCGTATATCAACAGAAGTCATCTCAAAATTTCCATTTTATATATCATGTAGATTTTTATATTAAATCATGTATCAGATGGTCCCACAAGATAACTATAAACGTCCACCCACCTAGAATAATGATTTGATTGGCACAAATGCCGTCCAACTGTATAAGACGACATATTATGAAAACACTATTTTGTAGAAGGGATAGGGGAATATTTTACCCGGCCAAAGATTAATGTCTTTTCACAATGCATCGACAATCCTAAAACAAAGAGCCTTCGGGATCATTTGTGCGTGATAATATGTCATGTGGAAAGTAGTTTTAGAAGACGTCCAATCACAAGGCTCACACTGACGGGCCTCATTCCAGTTTCTTGAAGACAGATTATATCTCTAATCAACACTTTTCTTACCTTCTGCCGCTGGTGGGGCTTCGCAATCCTGGTTTTAGATATTATTTTCCCGGCGTATATTTTGTTGGAGTTAAGATCCAGTAGTTCATAACAACGGGCAAAGCCTCCCTGAAACAAAATACAAATCACCATAAGAACAGATTGAATATTTATTAATTCCACGACGACGAGTAAATATATGCTGCTTAGCTGAGATTATAATAATAAAATAGTAAATACGAACATGGGCTAATTCGGGTTGACATCTATTTCCGGAACAAACGTAGAATAAAAATCGATAGATTTTATGTCTCGTTAATATTAGCTGTTATTTACATACATACTATAATAGTAAATACATGCATAGGATAATTTGGGTTTCCATGTTCCTTATCCGGAATAAATGTACCGACAGATTTAAGATAAACGAATCCCCACAAATGCCAACATTGAGGGCCAACATGGAGGGCACTGTGTCCTGATAAGCCAGCCAGGTGTAACACGCTGATAACCCCCAATCCGAAATTTTATCATGCTGATTGGAATCGAGTTTCCCAAAGGTGTTTCCGGTCGGAAGTAACCCAACTACCTCATATCATCTTTTTCAAGCGCACAAACACACACGCACGCACATAACGTACTTTCAGAACAGAATAGGTTTGCTCAACATAGTTGAACACGATTGTGCGTTTTGATTTCTATACCAAGGTTGTATCATAAAAGGTTGTCTACCAGGATCTATATTCATAGTTTCTTTAACGAACATCGCATTCAATGATTGAATATTTCTATGAACTTAATTGAAGTATGTGTTTCTCAACCCAACTGATATTTGGAAGGAGATAATCTTTTTTTGATGCCAAATAAACATTGATGACATTCTATGGCAAACTCTATGACATAATCACCCGATACATGTGGCAATGGCGTCAAAACATAAACATAAACACCGAGTGTAAAGCTTCGAATTAGTCGACATTTATGTTTGCAGGTTCACTAAAACGTAGTCGACAGCTGTGACCTCGCGGTTACCTCTGTACCACGCGGACATACATCAGATGGTCAGATCAGATTCATACATATGCATCAATACAGATTTCCCATTTATTGGGAAATGTTTGGGTGACACCGTGTTATGCAACCAGACACGTGACCGGTCAGTCCCACCATCAAAGAAAGCGTGTGTCGTCTGCACACGAACCTATCAGTATCGTCCGCTGCTGCTGTCGTCTGCCCGAGGCCCTGATGAAATCAGTGTCTCAGTAAGTGTTGTGGCGGGGGATCAATAGGTACCATCTATCTGTCTGTATCACCTTACTAAACATTTACCCACACATTTAATCTTATCCAACTCAGCTGATCTAACCTCAATGTGACATCGTATCTCTACGATCTGACCACTTTTTGCCATGTGACCTTTTGCCCTAAGTCAATAAATGTTAAACAAACTATTTATTACCGCAAAGGAAGAGAAAAGCGAACTATCAAAAATGGGATCTAGAAAAATGTCAGGTGTGTTCATGATACACAATTTGAATGTTTTCTCAAGTGAAGTAGGAACTAGACCAAGAGTCCGTGCAGATCGCGACACGTAAGTGTATATCATCTTAATGGAGGCAACAGGCTGACCATACCGCGCACCTGACAAGGAAACAAGTCCTTGACGATGACCAACAACTGTGTCGTATAAACCCCCACCTGACCCAAGGCCATACACAAGTGTTTACACTCGTCCACTTGGCATGAGGATGCACTCGAAAGGTGTAAGGTGTTCAATGTTATTGAGATTTGGACATCTTGTACGTAACAGATATTAATGTCGAGACACTGCCACAGCTCTGTAGGTATGCACCCACTACCAGATTATGTGCAGATACAGTCGCTCTTTAATACATCTTTTGTTTTCGACCACTCTACTAGAGACTGCAAGTCTATCAGATCAATGACCCTGGGACGTCCCGGTTCAGCAATACCCCTCCCCCCAAGGCACACAACACTTGAGTTTGGAGAGTCTACTACCTCTCCCCAAAGCCTTAGAAGAGTGTCGACCCATGGGTCGCAAGACATGGCTACCATCTGTTTGTGTGAGGGCGGGTCACGTCCGGGCTTACACGATATAAAGACCTATATCCTGTCGCTCTGCTCTCCCATCATACATCCAGACAACGCCAAGCACTTCCACTCGCAGGGGCACTGTCTTACTTATGCGACTCCTGAACCAAGTTAGGAGGAGGCCATGTTAGACTTCCTCGCGCAGCTGCTACTCATATATGTAAAACAAAATGGAGTACATTGTTTTTTTCTATTTTCCCCTGGGAATGTCGCTCAGGAAAACATTATCTTATTTCATTAAGCCTTGCACTGTGTTTTCCTTGTAAAATACGTTCCGGTGTAGAAATGAAAAACAATTACACGAACTCGAAAAGAAACCTCATGCCTAAATGGGACTTTTTGAAATCAAAACATATCTATTACTTTAAAGGCTAGTCGGCTCGTCTCATTACAGGCCGTCGTGTAGTCCTGCTCCATGACCGTGGAATATATTTATTTTATGAAAATAAATCAATCTAGAAATGCATACAAAAGCAAGTCTAGCCAGCATAGGGATTTTAAAAATATTTTTAGAGTCAAGAAGGATATTGTGTAATATAAGATTTCAGAGACTAAATGTTAGTCTAGCCGTCATGGTACGAAGTTGACTATCTAGATCCCAGAATCCCTCGCGAAATGGCGTCACTCCATGTTTGTGACAGACATCAATATTAATGAATGTTATGCAGCGGGATTCTCTGTAAGCGTGCTTTATTCGAGGCTGTACGTTGTCTACCCCACATACATGGACGACTAAATACACACTCGGATATGAACACCCTGTTTGGGGCCTGTGGGGATAAGGGTGGGGGGCATGTTTAGGTATAGGCCGCCTTTAAATGAGTGTATCAGTCGGTTACTGTGTATAATCAACCGCACAAATCAATATTGTTTGTTTGCTTGTTGCTTAACGCCACACAAAGCAATATTCCAGCTATATGACATCGGTCTGTAAATAATCGAGTCTGGGTCAGACAATCCAGTGATTGACATCATGAGCATAGATACACGCAATTTGGATAGGAAGACATGCATCAACCGAGTCAGCGAACCTGACCACCCGATCCCGTTAGTCGCCTCTTACAGCAAGCATGGGTTGCTGAAGACCTATATTTACCCCTGATCTTCACGGGTCCACAAACCAATAAGGGACAGCGGTGATCAAGTGGGACAACTGACAAAGTTGCTTCCCTACCCTGCAATCACTAGCTCGTGTGGGTTCGGATTCAAGATCCACTCAGATTATGATCATTTGTTTGTCCACACCATGGCCGTGCTCGTAGGTTTCGCCAAAATTGCAAACGTCTGAGAGTGAGTGAGTTGGGTTTAACGCCGCTTTTAACATTATTCCAGTTATATCACGGCGTGTCAGCTTAATGTGGGAGGAAAGCTCGAAGTGATGCAGGTCTCGGACGTTTACCACTTCGGTGAAACCCAAGAGCACGGGTATGGTGCTGACAAACCTAGAAACATAATTGGGACGAACCGGGATTCGAACCCACAATCATAGGTTTCTGGCGTGCCCAAGTGACGCAACTCTGCAACGCGAATCGCGGCTCCTTAGACGACTGGGCCACCCGTGCCCCCGCAAACGTCTGAGATCTCTGTCCCTTAGCTTTCCTCCCACAATCCTTTCACTTTGAAGTATAGTTGTAATAATGTTTCAAGCGGCCTCAGACCTCAACTAGAAGAATACCAATGAAGCTGAAGAATGTTTAGTACAAACAGTAACACTTGTATCTCAAGGGAAGGGAGGTTGCAAACTTGACGCAATACGTGTTGGCTTGCCAACTCAGTTTGTCTGAAACCAACACCACCTTGTAACCATAACGACGTTTAATTTCTTGGACCAGGCTCCATTTTGATGAGCAAGCCCAGAGAAGAAACTCCTCAGCTGCCATCTTGGTAATGACGTTACACGATATCCGTGAAACCGACCCACCGTGATCTGAGCTGCCCTGGGACTTAACGCGACATTGCTGCAATGTGACGAGACCCTTGCAGCACACACCAGCTGACCTCGTACACCATCCCGCCATGTGCAACTCGACCATAACCAAGCCTTCTTTCTGTGTTTTTTGTGTGTAGAAGTACACTTTAAACAGCTTTTGTTTCTCCTGCATGAACCGACTTGCTCTAAATTCATTATCCTCAACCCGCACCTGCTTCCACTTGCTCATTTACCCCGTGATAAACCGAAATGAAAGACTGCTCTCCAGTCGAATGTATTTGAATAGCGTGGAGCACTTCCCTCACTATGAGACATGTTATTCTGTAATTAACCACTTATTTATAGTAATCATAATCATATTTCCTTCTTCCGTATGCGATGTGAATAAATTATTGACAAAAACAGAGTAAAGTAATTTCCTGATGGAGTGTGCTACAACCTCTAAAGACCCGTGAAGATTCGCGGTAGAATAGGTCTTCAGCAACCCATACTCGCCGTAAAAGGCGACTATGCTTGTCGTAAGAGGCAACTAACGGGATCGGGTGGTCAGGCTCGCTGACTTGGTTGATTCATGTCATCGTATCCGAAATGCGTGGATCGATGCTCATGATGTCAATCACTAGATTGTCTGGCCCAGACTCGATTATTTACAGACAGCCGTCATATAGCTGGAATATTGCTGAGTGCGGCGTTAACCAAAAAAAAAAAACAAAAAAAAACTCTATACCGCTAACCATCCTGCCGACTACAACTGGTATGCTACAACCTCTATACCGCTAGTCATCCTGCCGATTTAAGTCGGGTGTGATGCAACCTCTGTAACGCTAACCACCCTGCCGCCATCTACAACAGTTGTCAGGGAGAGAAAGTATGGAAATACCACAGTGCACGTTCACCAGTGTTAACCGAGGCAGGTAAAAACACCGCGTTGAGGTCGCCCTGACCCTAATGTATTGCCTAACAATAGATCAGCTCATCAGCCTCTACCGGCGACGTCGTCGTTCCCAGTGAAGTCACAGCGTCTGATTGATGGCGCAATCAGTCACACAAGGATCCAGTCCTGTCTGATCTGTCTTCATCTACGACG